GCTGCCAAATGGCTGAAAATTGCTGCCTTGGCAGCTTTTTAGTTAATTTTTTTTTTCTTTTTAAATTCGTTTCTCTTCAATTTTTATTTTTTCTTAAAATCATTTTTCTTAAAAAAAAAATCGTTTTGAAAACAAGGCAGCGTTTTTATTAAAAAATAATTTTTTTAACAAAAATCGCTGAAAATGCAGCCTAATTCGACACCAATTAATGGTTAGGTAGTTAAAGTGTAGAATGAGTTACATTTTGGTACTATTAAGTACAAACACATAAATTCATCTAAAAACTCTGAAAGCTTATATAGAGGCAAATATTTTTGAGGTTCCTCATCATAGAGATTAAACATATTACGATTATTTGACAAAGACAAAGAAGCACAGTAAAAAAAATTAGATAGAGCTTAAAAAAAACACGAAAAGATATATATTTTCATGAACATAAATAAAATAAAAAAAAACATTCATAGAAAAACAACCAAATAAAATGACATACCTTTGTAGAAATCTGCAACTTGTCTCTATCATTTCTTCTAATCATAGGAGTCGGGAAGAGGTTGATTATTCCATTTATAATAAGTTGATAGTGAGAAAAATTTAAGATAACAAATAAGATGATTCATTATCTAGTTAAATTGATAACTTTGTTGTGCACAAGTAGAGACTTTAGGACGCGTCCTACATGACATATATAATACACTTAGGATACAAAATTATCATGTAGGATGCCACGTAAGACGAATATGTTTATTTATTCAATTTTATACAAATTTACGTGTCTATTTAAGTACACACAAAGTTAGAAGACATATATGTCAGTTGAGACCAAGTTAAAACTTACATTTATTCATTATGTCAATCGATTCAATTATTCAGCTACTTCGAATAAACTTACTATTTTCTCCTAGTATCTTTATAATTATTATTTTTAACATATAGTTTCTACATTTTTTTGTGGTATATTCTATTTTATTAAAGTAGAATTTTAATTTTTTTTAAAAAGCATCAAACTTGGTGGATGTGGCACCACAAATTGGAAGTGAAAATTGAAGAGGCTATTAGAGCCACTAGTCACAATCCTTTAGCATCAACACAAAATCTTGAATGATCACTTTGTTGAAGGAGAAAATTCAAGAATAGGCAAAACCAAAATCAAGAATCAATGGCTTCCACCATTAGCTACACTTCACTTTGTTCTTTACTTAAACTCAACCAAAACAACCAAAAAACCCCATTTTCCCCTTCTTCTTCTTCTTCTTTGATTAAGATCAAGAATCAGTTATGTTTTAGCAGCAATTTTTGTAGCCATTTAGGTAAAGCTTCAATCTTTATGGTTAAAGCTTCAGAAACAGAGGCAACTCAGTCAGAAAAAGAAGAAGACAAGTATGAAGAGTATGAAGTTGAGATTGTTCAGCCTTTTGGACTTAAATTTACTAAAGGTAGAGATGGAGGAACTTACATTGATGCTATTGCTCCTGGTGGTTCAGCTGATAAGACTGGGAAATTTACTGTTGGAGATAGAGTCATTGCCACCAGGTATTTGCTTTTTTTAACAAAAAATTGGGGATTATGAGGTGGGAAATTGAATTCGCACCAATAAAGTTTAGGTAGCCGACCAACTGAGCATATGTTATACTACTAATAGATGTGTCAATTTTAGTACTCTATTATTATATTGGAAAAAAACTACCTAATTATTCAAACATTCTTACTACATTTACTAATTTTTTTCTATAGTTTGAAATAATTATACATATTGTGATTTCAAGTCAGATATACTTTGATACATGTATTTTTGATACTCTGAATTAGAGAGGAGAGAGGCAAGAGAGAGAGTCGGTGTATCCTAGATACATGCAAATCACACTAGATATATGTATCTGGATATCAGATACATCCAAATACATACTGAAAGGGAAAAAAGACAAATATATCCCCAACTATCTTAAATGGTATGCAGATATCATCCGTCATATTTTTGGAACATTGGTGCCCTGCCGTCCAAAAACTAGAGCATATATACCCTTTATACTAACGGGCATACACGTGTCATAATCTTATCCACCGACCCGACGTCGGATCGATGGATAAGATTGTGTCACGTGTCCCTATTTAGTCTTCTGTTAGAGTGAAGGGCATATATGCTTTAGTTTTTTGACGGCAAGGGCACCAATGTCTCAAAAGTATGACGGAGGGTATATGCATACCATTTACGATAATTCGGGGGTATATTTATCTTTTTTTCCCCATTTTGAAACACAGATACATAGGGAGAGAGTCGTGTATCCTAAATACATGTGAATCTACTTGGATGTAGAGTATCTGGAACAAATTATACCTGATTTTGACCTCATGTATTTGATGATCGAAATCTAGCACGAATAGTAGTTTTGATCTACTTGTGTTATTTGTCCTTATTTATTTGTGCATGTGTAAGTAAAGAATGTGGAATGGCAAAATGTGTTCAGTGCAGTGTTTGGAGAGGAAATATGGCCTGCTGCTGAATATGGAAGAACAATGTACACTATTAGACAGAGAATTGGACCTTTACTCATGAAGATGCAAAAGAGATATGGTTAGAACATTAAACTAATTTAGACACCGTTGTTCGATATGTTACCTCATACGAATCATCGCATTTCTCAGGGAAGGTGGAAGAAGTAGGTGAATTGACAGAAAAGGAAATTATCAGAGCTGAGAGGAATGCTGGTTTCATTAGTGACAGAGTTAGAGAACTTCAAGTAAGTAAACAAGTTTAGAGTATAAATGGGATAAAAACACATATGCCTTGACCCTTTCTTTCCTTGTGATGCTCAGGTAACGAATGCTCGGAGGAAGAAAGAACAAAAGGAGCAACGAGAAAGAGATCTTCGTGAAGGACTAAAACTTTCTAAGTAAGGTCATTTAACATCATTCTACCAATGTATTGTCATTCATGTAAAAGTTTCCTATTAATGGATTGTTTGTCTTCCTGGTAAAAAAGGAATGGCAAATACGAAGAAGCACTCGAAAAGTTTGAGTCTGTGTTAGGATCAAGACCAACTGGAGATGAAGCTGCTGTGGCAAGTTACAATGTTGCTTGTTGCTATTCTAAGCTTAATCAGGTAATTCTATTTGATTATACACCGACTCTCAAGTAGACTCATGAGTTCTATCTGACATAATACACATAGGACACCACGTAAGATGCAAATTCCCATACAGGATGTCACGTAGGACGTGTGTGCTTATACAAGTGTTTGTTTGTGCACACCCAAAGTTGGAGGGCATAAATGTGAAATGAGGTCAAGTTAAAGGGGATATTTATGTATTATGCTGAGCTTTTAGCTGACCATAATTCATTTTGGATGATAATTTACTGGATCGTGGTTCTCGAAATGACTCATTTTATTGCCCTGTGATAGCTTCAAGCAGGGTTATCTGCCTTGGAGGATGCAATGGAAGCAGGATTTGAAGATTTCAAGGTAAATGAGATTCAGAAATTTGCAGGAAATGGTATGGTTTAGTACTGTACCTGATTCATATTTGCCTGTGTTAACAGAGAATCAGGACAGACCCCGATCTTGCTAATCTAAGAACGTCTGAGGATTTCGAGACACTCATGAAAAAGTTTGATGAATCGTTCATCAATGAGAATGCCATCAATGCGATTAAGTCCCTTTTTGGCTTCAACAAGAAATAGAAGCAGCAGCACATTCATAAACTGAAATGTCAATACATTGACTATGCTCCCTTTTTTGGATTTTGTTTATAGGTGAGTTATAGATATGAAATTACTTCTGATCATTAATTTTTTTTTTCATTTCAATTGTATTACACTATGGTCAATCTCGTGTAATTATAAGGTTCGTATTCTGAATATGAAAAGATCTTCAATTTGAAACCTACATATCTCGTCGATCCATCAATAGTACATGCTCTTAAGTTGGCTAATGTGCCTACAGATTCCTTGTACCATTTCAAACTCAAGTAATCTTCATATTCTTGACTTGTCACACAACAGCTTCACTGGAAGCATTTATGCAGAGGTCGGAAATCTAGTTGGAATGATCAAAACACCAAGCACCTTCTCATCGATTTCATTCAGTTTCACCTTATCGATTGAGTACACTGAACTGATAGTGAACTGGAAGAGGTCAGTACAAGGTCTGTCATCGAGCACCAGCATCGACATCTACTCTTGGTTGGACTTGTCAAAAAAAACCATTTTTCTGGTGAAATCTCATCTTCTTTAGGAAAATTTAGAGGCCTAAAGATGCTTAACATCTCTTACAATGGCCTTAGATTCCAGCAACTCCTGGGAATTTGGAGAGTCTTAATAGCATAGATTTGTCTCACAACAGTTTCTCTGGTCCAATTCCCCAGTCCTTTACAAAGCTTCAACAACTCACTACTTTTGGATGTCAGCAATACAACAACATACTCAGTGAAATCCCACAAATAGGGTACGGAGAGGGTAGAGTGTACCCAGACCTTACTAGTACCTCGTGGAGGTAGAGAAGTTGTTTCTGAAAGACCCTTTGACTCAAGAGCAGCGAATCCAAGTACAAAGAAGAAGAAAACAGTGTAGAAAACGTAGCAACTAACAAAGGAAGCAGTGCAAAGACTACAAGAAAGAACCAAGAACAACAAAATAGTGTGATAATCAAAATACAATACACAACAGACGACGATAGATATCAGCAATAACCATCCCAAAGGTAAAACACTAGTTGGAGGCCAAAGGGATCCAATGGATGATCGAACTTCTTGTGCTAATAATAGTGTCTTTGTGGCTTCCAAATTCAACTGCACTGTCCAGACAAGAAGTCACTACAACAAACGGAACCAGAGAATGAGAGCAAGAAGAATCATGGTTTGCATGGGAAGCAATGTGAATAGGATTGCCATTTCATTTCATTATATCAACGCCATATTACTTACTGGATTTGGCTAGCTTACAGAACAGCACAGCCTCCTCCCTCGAAGACGCACAGTACAGATCAAGAAGCAGCAAAAACAAGACACAAATGGAAGTGGAAATGATTTTACTAATAAATATTTCCATTTGCAGAGAGTGTTTACATTTGAGTGTCAAAAGACAATAGAATGACTGATAATTTGAAACCAAAAATCTACTGTTCCACTAAAGATTTCAGTGGTGCATCCAAGTCAGTAAAATTGCACTGAAGCAAAGGTAGAAAAAATAGTATGATCTTCATAACTTCTGCCTTTGAATTCAGCTAACAATGCAATAGAACAGCAAATTATAGCAACCTAAGCTCTTCTTTTCGATTGACACGAACTCTTCAATGTTAACCATTCAAGCTGATCATTGGTGTGTGTGCTACCTGTTTGTGACAATGAAGAGGAATTATAACCTGTATTCTCCCTCTATGAAGCAGTTTCATTGACGCGCAATATATTATCAGTCTACCAAGCTGGAACTCATCAAAAGGCTATTATTTTGAGAGAACAGCAGAAATAACACGCGCTGCTTTTTCTTCGAAGTTTAACACTTGTGCACATCGCTTTTCCAGTAGCCTTCAGATGCTAGAACCAGAAAACATATTGCAGGAGATGACAGTTAGCTTGTGTGTGGCTTAATTACTCAGACGAATCAAGCAAGAATAAACATCAATTTAGCTTCACACTTCTACAACAGGGAGCAATTGTCAGTTGACCTGAATTCTCACATAAGAAATCTTGAAAGTGATCACAATCCGCAATAGCAGGAAAGGGAGACATGAATAACCTTCACTCCCATGTAGGGGGTTTCCCAGATAATCAAATGAGGAATCTGACGGATGGATGAAAATCTCGATGCAAATGAAAAAGAATAGCAATTCTGATGAATGCATCAGCTCCACTTCTACTAACGCCTGAAGCTTTTCCGATCATGAACAATGTTCTCATGCACATGAAGTCATTTCCTCATTGTTCTTGTATTAGATTAAACTGCAGCCACTTGGAAGTAGTTGCAGGAAGAAGCTGGTTAAGCAGCATCAAAGAATAATGCATAGACAATGTCTTGTCTCCTCTTCAGTGTCAGTATCTCCCGTTTCACTACAGAAACATCATCTTTAACATTCAGCTTCATACTAAAGGAACAAGCCCAGAGAGAATAAAAATGAAATAGGATTTAGAAACAACACGACAAGAAAAGTGAACAGGCAACTAACAATGCAATAGACTTCATGCTGTAAAACGACAGATTGGTAATGAAAGGCAATATACTAAGAAAGCGCAACTCTATTAGACCTTTATCTGGAAAAAGCTGGAAGAAAGGTGAGAAAGAAAGGTTGCCTACTACTAATAAGGGCGGGTAAGAGTGGGAGGCATCACTGGGAAAAAAGCCAATTGATTCGGTTTTCTCGAAATCAACGAATGGACTGTAATTCATCTTATGTACTTACATAAAAGAAGCATTTTGGACTCCTAATCCTTTTAACTCTCCCCATCCAGAATAAAGAAATTAACGACCTTATACTCGTTTTGTATAAGCAAAGAAAGTATACATCAAAATAAACCATGTTTAGCATCAGCAAAGAAAAGCATAACAGATAGTAAAAGATTAACAATCCAAATAAAACACCATGAACAAAGATATTTGAACGAAACAGTTGTGACCACAAACTAGCTATATATGGGCACATCAAGTAAACATTCTTCAATATCAGCAACAAAAATCTGAGAAAGGAAAAAACAAGCACTGCACATTGGTACTGTACTTATCATTGTTCATTCAATTTTCTCCCAAAAGTATACAGAATTAGAAAAGTCTTATGGTCAGATCTTCATTTTCATAAATCATAACACGTGCCTCTATCTAATTTTCTTGATTTCTTCAGCAATATAGATGAGGACATATTAACTTCTTCTAGCAGATAGATCTCAATAATATATCTAAGTAACCTAGATCTATATTCTCCACATTTTATCATCTTGACCCCTTAATTCAAAATTTCCAAGAACACATTTTTAATGCATAAAGTAATGCTGCTCTTTACCTGGATTCAAACTCCTTGATCTCAACAAGCTCTTTCCCTATGTTATCCATCCATTGAACTCTCTTCTTGTCAATAATCTCCTTAGGTCCAACAACAGGACTTTTCCTAATACAACTTTTAAGACCATTTCCAGCATCTAGACTGACCTCAGATTGTTGATGAGAGGCACCAGAAACATGTGGGGTACTTTCCAATTTCAATGGACCTGGAGTGTAAAGATGAGCAGCAGAGGGTTTACAAAAACAAACAAATGGACAATGGATTTTGCAGAACAAAACCCTCATCAAACTGCTTTCTTTCATCAATAACTCATTTCAAGAATGCCCCCATTCCACCTTAAAACTGAAAAAGATCCAATCTTTAACCTCATAAAGCCCCAAAATTTTCATATAGGTATCAAACACAAACAATCAATTACATTAGATGACAAAGTTCTCCATTGAGCTGACATTTAGTACACATAAAATAATGATGTCCCAAATCCAGCAGAAAACAACAAAAGTACTAATAAATTCTTGAGTAAAGAAGAAAAAAAGGTAAACAAACACTATATATATTTATATATATTCAAGAAAGAAGCAAAACCCCATAATCAAGAAACAATAAGTTTGGGATTTGGAGGGGGTTCTTGATTGTGAATTCCAAAACAACCCCTCAATCAAACATCAAGAAACTCTGCTCCTCCACTTTTTTTTACATGAAAATTCTGATTCTTGAGACTTTATTTTAATGTAAAGAAAAGGACATGTCTTTGTAGTTGAGAGAGAGAGAGAGAGAGAAAACAAACAAAGAAACAAACAAAGGTGATTGCTTCCACCTAATAGTAAAATGTCTGTCCTACCCTCTGCTGATTCATTGGAACAAAAAACCCAAATTGGAATTTTATCTGAAAGAACAAAAAGCTTAGCTGGAAGAGAAACTACTGATGAAGAAGATGATTCAAACAAATTTTCACAAGAATCCAAAATATGGCAACTGTACTCTTTCCAATAACACAAACTAAAACTACTTTCATAAAAATATTGACATATCAATATTACCATAATAGTAGTAATAACTAAATTTGGCAAATAAAGAAAGGCATAACACATAGACATGTTTTTTAACTTGATCTCAACTGACATCTATGTCCTTCAAGGTGTGCACAAGTAGACATTTAAATTTTGCATAAATTTAAAGAAATTGATTACATATGTCCTACATTGTCTCCTACGTATATCATGTCACGTAGAACGCGTGTGTCTATTTCACTTTATATAAATTTAAATATCTACTTGTGTACACTCAAAATTGGATGGCATAGATATCAGTTGAAGTCTATGTTGCTCGGACAGTTCAAAAATGTCAAGGGGTACATATTGGATTATCCAAAAGTAATGTATTTTTTAAGAATCTGAAATGAGTGCAACATTGAAAATGATAAGTTCATGCAACGTAGACTGAAATCAAGTTTAAAGAATATATTTATGTATTTTATGTAATATAGAAATGAATTGGGATGTTCAACAAGACAAGATTGTACAAGAAAAGAAGACACCAAAGACAATATGGAGTTGCTACCTAGTGGTGGTTTGCATGATGGTAACCCCACTTTTAAAGTAAAATTGATTTAAAGGTAATGACTTTGAATTTGAACAATAACTTAAGTCTTCAAATTGGTGCTTCTTTTTCTTTAAGACAATCCATAACTCAATTGATTTGCATAATATATACTCTTTTTTTTAGTTTCCTTTCTTTTCTTAGTCATATTGACTTCATACCAAAACTTTATTTTTTTTTATAAATTTAAAATAATCATTTAAAGCATAATATATATATAAATAATCTTTTTTGGTTTCCTTGACAATTTAACTTTTGAGGGTTAGCTAGGTTTACTTGAGTGTTGATGAATATATAGGCTTATCAAAGACTTTCCAAGTTCAATATGGTGCTTATGCAACCATGTGAAGCTAGACAACAAATAAGAAAAGAATCTTGTGAAAGACAAACTTTTTTATAAGGCGTAACCTTGATGTAAGACTTATTTATAATAAGAAAAAAATCAACCCCTTTTTTTGGAGTCTTGGTGACTCGACCCTCCAATCGAGCATCCGAGCAACTCTCACTTGTTCACCTTACCGCGTGATTCACCCAAATTTAGGAACATACACTTTCATTAAGACTCATATAGTCAGATCATTGCAACAAAAGAGACGTTTAGTGGCAATAGATTTTTTTTTTTACCTTATTAATATGTCACACATATTTTACCTTAACTTTGTTTTTTTTTAAAAAAATTAAGGTGGAATTATTATTTGTTTCAACTGTGTATTTCTATAGTCATAAAAACTTTTCATTGCCTTCATAATTGTTTTTACTTTATTTAATAAGAAGGCTCAATTGTTTACCAACACACTATTTCCTGTACTGGCATTTATTTCAAATTGGGCTACTTGATTGATACACCTTTGGATTTTTTTAAATTCATTTTACATGCTTTTTTTTCCTATTAGAAATGCATATCATTTTCATACAATTGTTAACTTTTTTCACTAATTACATTGTTAAAAACATTCATTTCTCATGCATGTTTTTAACATTTGTGGATCAATATCATTTTGGTACAAACTAGTGATATTATATTCTCTAATCACACAAATATTACTATAAACATCATTTTACTAAACTCTACCTGACGATTTTAATTGCAGGGCTAATTCATTCTAAACCTTAGTTCATGTTTATATAAAGGGTAATATATTGTCTAGAAGAGGGCATCTCGAATATCCCGTAAACTCTTGTGATATTCATAAAGAAATCAAGATATGATTGGACTACTCTTGACAATCAAATACTTCAAGATAATTCATAAAACACGCTATTAACAGCCCTCGAATCGCGGAGAAAATTCATAATAGAATTATACTCATTCTATTTATTAATAAAATATTCTTGTTTCTTCGTATTCTATTCGTGGTGCATGCCACTTTTTTTTCACATAGAAATTCTATAAAGGCATTTTAATTTTAGATAAGATAGTGAAATGAAAATAGAAGCAAACAATATGATTAAGGGGAAGGCCAATAAAGATGAGAACTTTAATTTTTAAGGACAAAAATTAAAAAAGTTCCAATCTTTATACACCAACTTTAATTTATAAAGAAAAAATTAAACTTTAACCCTCAAATATTGGGACAAACGCATATGGTAATGTATTTGATTGTGGAAGCAAAGTTGTTGTCTTCTTACCCTACAATCATCTAAACTTTTTCAAAAAATAAAAATAAAATGAAGATATAAGTATATCCATCAATGATATATATAATTTCCACATCACGCTTATTTTGTTTAGATTTACTTTAGATTAATTATGAGTTTTGAGTTCGAAGCCTGAATATGACAAAAAATTCTTGTTTAATGAATTTGATATCGTGTGAATATAGATATATCGAAGACTAGACAAGACAAGAAAACAAAAATGATAACCTAGACATCATTTCATGAGCGCTCGTGGCAGTAATTATTAGGAAAAGATCAAAAGGAGAAAGTAAGAAATGATCAACAATTACTAGGGAGGTAGGGGTGTAATCGCAAACAATAATATATTCGGTGAAATTTCATAAAGTGGGGTCTAGAGAGGATAGAATGTACGCATATCTTATTAAGATCATGTCCTCGATAAACTAAAATTATCATATACTGTCTAATCACTTCTCCCAAATACTTCTTCGACCTATCTTTCACACCTACTCACTAGGGAACTACACATGCCCTAGTATCAAACAAATAGTAATATTTTGTTCGTTGTTATTATTATTAGATATAATGGTCTAACACACTTAAATCCTGACTATCAGTTGTTCCTTTTTCCTATTTAAACTATCAATATATATAACATTGAAACACACCTATTTGAATAGATGGCGCAGGATAATTGACCTAGTCAACTTCGAGGTGTGTTTTAAGATGTTAATGGGAACATGTAGGAAAAGAGACCTGTTGATAATTGGGGTACGAAACTCACGAAAAAGTAATAGTTTGGATATGTTTTTTACCATTATTATTTTCTTAAAGGTGCAAGCAAGCACACTCAAAACTCAAAAAATATAAAAGGAATCAATGAATAGCATTGGCTATAGTTTTTTTCTTCCATTAGATATGATGTATCTTTTACAAGAATCTATCAAGCTAAATAAATAAAACCAACAAGTGTATTGTGTTCAACACTTATCAAGTTACAATTGACAATGTCCAGTTAGAACTGCAAGAATCACAAAAATGATGTGAACAACACTTGTATATATTTCGCGGAAAAAAAAAGATCTATTATTGAAATTTTTGCTCAAACTCGACTTTCTCAGGTAATAAAGACGACAATCCTAGCACAAAATTGGCGAAATTGTGTGTAATAAGCAACTATTCATTAAGTGTTATTGTTGAATCTTGAGGACTGGGAAAGCAATAACATCGCGGATGCTAGGTGAGTCTGTCAAAAGCATTACTAGCCTGTCAATGCCAAGTCCCTGAGAAATGAATGTGACAACATGATGTAATGGTCAGAATCTACTTCTTGTGAATCGTCAAGTTTCATTGGTTTCGTAAAAGTATGCACTTGAGAAAGAAAAACAAATCGCCATTGAATCAACATACCATTCCAGAAGCTGGAGGCATTCCGTATTCCAAAGCTGTGAGGAAATCTTCGTCAAGAGTTACTTCATACGAGTCATCATCATCATCTTTGTTCTCTTGTTCCTTGGCACCAGCCTTATTTAAACCTGATGCGGCTTTTTTCTCATTATGTTGCCTCACTTGCTCTTCCAACCGTCTCCTCTGCAGCAAGTTTAAACGCGACAATTAATTTTTGTTCTGCATATATAGCACCAGACTAACAAAGAATTCACTAATTATATTGTGCATAAAACTTCTAATTCATAAAAGTGTTGGTCCTGCAGATAGCTCAAACAGGCGTAGGAGGTTGATATACTATTAACAACATATCTACTCTGCAAAACCATATGCTTAGAACAGCTGGAATTTCTTTCAGAGCACCATGTCTGGGATAGAGTGGATTCCCTGTCCTATCGGTGTATAAGACCATAAGCTCTTTCGTGATATTCTACTGACCCATCTTTGAACCATCTTTAAAGAGACTGGAAAGAACTAATGCATATTTTTAGCTTTAAGGACAGAACCACTTCTTTCTACTCTTACAGAGATTAGCAGTCCATCATTTTGATACTATGGTGGCAAGAGATTCTTTTGCTTTTTTGTATTTCTTTTTTCCCTTGGATATGGTGTACGTTATTATTTCACAAGCCATTCACTAGATTAGGCAATATCAGAATTCCTCAATGGCGACAGAACAGCAAAATAAACATACGGATGGTACACAGTTTCAAGATTTCAACATCAGAATACCTGGTCCAGAGGATCAGTTAATTCTGAGAAGGCATTTGCCATCTCACGGCCACAAATGAATAGCTCGAATCTCTCAGTTAAGCCTGAATGTCTGCAAAAAAAACAAAATATCACGTAACAAGATAGTTGGTGTGTATAATAGAAGTGAAAACTACTAAAGCAGTCTACTTTTGTACAGTAAGTGTGTATAACTTTCTTATCAGGTAAATCACAAGACTACTAGACATGACCTCAAAAAAAATTATTCTGCCTATTCTTGATGTATTGGAGATTTCAGCACCAAAACTCAAATATCTGGAAACATCTCAGAGAGCAAAGCAAGTAACTTTTACTTGTTACAGAAGTACAAGAGTGAGTGATAATTCAGAAGGTGATCATAGCGTTAGATCTTTCATGTAGTAAAGAAAGTGATTAAACACTGATATTCACACAAAGCAGCCAGGGACAAGTCATTTAAACCAAAGAAAAATGCAGCAATAACTCGAGAAACGAAGGTGATTCAAAACAAACTTTTCATGTACTGTTTCAGATGAAATGTGCTTTACATCATGTAAATGTTCTTTCTAAAACCACAAAGATGCCAAGAGAGAAGGTAGTGTGGATTTAAGGGCAGAGGGGAGTAAATCCTGTGTCATTCCCCTTGC